AGCCTCAGGACCACGACTGGGGGGGCAAAGGCAAAATACCTGCCTCAGGTGCAAATACAAGAAAAGCTCAGTAATTCAGATGAATACTATTTTTAAAACATAAAAATCATGACAAAAAAGCCACAATTCAAAACGTATCAACAGTATAGATAAAGTCAGGATAAGAAACATTACCATATGGAGCCCAAGGCAAAAGGGAAAACACAAATACTAATAATGATTCTGTTTTTTAAAATTATTATTATTTATATTTTTAAGCCTGTGGTGAGAGACTCATTGGCCTTGCCTAGTCCTGGCCCTGGTCCACTTCCACTTGATATATTTCCTGAAATAATCATTAGAATAATCTAGATTACTTCTGGCCCAGCATTTAGAATGTGTTATGGACAATAACAGCTAACTTAAAATACTCTAGATGCATTAAACACTTCAACTTTTTTAAAGGTTCTCAACTAAGCATTCAAAATGGGGTGTGTTCATACCCTATCTGATTACATGGGCCTTCAACATGAAACCAGACCCATCTTATCTAAACAGACACACAGAAACCACAGTGCTGAGTAATGTTATCATTTGAAACATGTACTGCACTTCTCATAGGAGCTTACAACAGTTGAGAAAAAATCAGTGTAAGATAAACTATATAATAAATGGGTTCCAACCAGACTTAAAATATGCTGGGAAACTATGGGGGTAAGGGCAAGTGAAGTGGTCCTGAATCTTTAAGTTAAATGTTTTGGGGGAAACATGCCAAATAAATGACCCAAGATTCCAACTGACTCTCGAAAAGTTTGCTTTAATGTATCATCTTTACTGAAAGTGAAAGGACTAATATTTACGACTTATGAATGCATGTAAAGAATGAGGTTATTTGCTGTGGCTTCAAAAATTTAAGAGACGTACTGGAATAACAGCTGGAGAGAGATGGTGAATGCAGGTCTTTCAGGGTCCACATAGGACAGAAGACTTAAGACTGTACCAGGAGGAAATTTAAAGTAAACTTGTCATCTGTCAATCTCATCAGCCACACAGCATGGTAGCAGAGGAGGATATAGGCTTTGGAGTCAGACCCAAGTGGAAAGTTCAGCTCCATTCTGCCCTTGTGGCCCTTTCTGTACCTGTTTCCTCAACTGTGAAATAAGCCCACTTTGCAGGGTCACAATGAGAACGAAGTGGGACAGGATATGTAGAGCGATTGCCTGGCACAGATCTGACTCATGGGGTTCCTTGATTAAATTTTAGTTATCACCTTCAGCACCATCAGCTTTATTAAGTGTCTGAAGGTTATCTGGCCCTGACACAGATCAGGGGAGGAAGTTTTCAAAGAGAGAAGACAGAAAACAAACAAACAAACAAACAAACCCATATTTATTTATATCTGGTGTGACTGAAAGAGAGTGTCTGAGCAGCCCAGATGTCCTGCTGGAGGCAGAACCCATCCTGTTTGTCTATTTTTTTGGTGCCAGGTACCAAAATGTGAACCTTTCATTCTTAGAAGAGTTTCAGGGAAAACACTTGAGAGATATTTTTTTTTAAGAATAGGCCCCTTCTTTGTCAACAAAGAGCAGTTGATCACAGTCATGGTTACTATGTTCAGTCTTGTTCTTGACATTTCAAATGATCCAGAAAAGAACTTCAAAAGTTCATCTGAAAGTGGATAGAAAGTGGGTGGTAGGAAGAAAGGTTATAAGAGAGTTGGGGCCATCCACTCCTGAGAAGAGAGGGCCTGCCAGATTTCGGATCTGTGAAGAGTCAGGGTGCTGATGCTACCCTGCTGACTTCCTTCTCCCTCCAACAGAAGGACTCTTTTCAGTGCTAATTCTCAGCTGGATGGACAGCTTCCCTTCCTCAAGGAAAAGGGTCAACTAAATGGGCTTCTGGGGTCTCTTCCAGTTCTAAGGCTCTGCACCAATATGGAAAAGCCAACAGAAACCCAGATTACCAATGTGGCGTAGTTTCCAGCTTCATCCTCTTGAAGGTGCAAGGTAGCTTGGCACAGTGAAAAGAGTGGGAGTCAGGAGTCAGCAAGAGCTGGGAGTAACTCTGCCTCTGAGACTCATCACTGGTTAGGTTACATCAGTGAAAGGTCTCAACCCTTTGCTTCTTTGTAACATGGAAATAATCTCTGCCTCCTAGATCTCCTGAAACGAATAACTAAACTAATGTTGGCAAAGCTCCTAATATGTTGGCTGGCACATTGTAGGCTTTCGATAAATTGGAGCTATTATTTTAATTGGATTAATAAATGAGTTGAATATTTGCCTTTAAATAAAGAAGATAGCAATGTTATTCTGGTTACAATTAGCCAGTTTTCAGACTTGGAAAACTATAAATTCAGGTTGATAGACTGCCTGCTACTGACATCCCTTGACCATTCAGAAAACCAGAACCTGTCTATGCCAAAGAATGTATGAAGGGCAACAAGCTAATTTCCTTTAAACTAAGAAGCAGAGGAAACTGAGGGCAAGGCCTGAGGCATCATGGGATGAATCTGGTTTCCCTCACTGTTACTACAAGAATCTAATTATTTTAAAAAGGTTCTAAATATTTTGGAATATATTCCACATACATGCCTCCAAGTTTATGTCTGCTGCTCATCCCATTGACTTATAATTCAAACCAAGTAGAGTAAAAACGTTAGTCCAAATACAGGTTTGCAAATCAAACATCAGCTCTCTCACAGCAATCAAAAGAACTGGTCAAAGCTCTATACTGAATAAAAGAAACTTATGCTACCAGATTTTTCCATAAAATGTAACCTCTGGGTGCTACATTAATGTGGTATTACCTATTTAGAATGTACAGAAAGATGATGGAGTCTGACAGTGGAGCTCTGGCTTTTGTTCTTTACTAGGACTGGGGTCTATGGCAGGACACCTAGAGGCAGTGGAGAGTCAGCAAGGACAGAGGAAATACAAGGTACAAACAAGCACACAAAATGAGGCCCCAAGTAGAACGTGGCCAGAAACACACATGGGGATGTTTCCTGAAGCCCGTCTGGGCCACTCAGAGAAGCAGACTTGGCTCCAGGAGTACTTCCTGTTTCTATCAAAGGGGGAATGGGTTACAGTTAATGGAACCAAACATTACAGACAAGGGAGCAGAACAATGTACTTTGAACTGATGGAGCCACAGGAAAGAGCAGCTTGTTTTCATTGGGAGTGAAGAAACATAGGCATGACATGCTGTAAAATGACTCCGGCTATGTCCAGGAGCTGGACGGGGCCCAGTGTAGAGCTGTGAGGGCCAGAGCGCCATTAAACCAATCCTAAGCTGGAGTCTCATGGGAAGTGGAGCAGCCCTTCCATCACAAAACAAGTTTTACACAAAACGACAAGGCCACACTGAAATTCATTGTTTCGAGTGCATAAATTTCAAGTGGCTATAAACCCTGATCTGTTGAAATGATTGCTAAGAATCTAAAACTAAATATCCCAGTAGGCTCATCTTCAGGCCAATCTTTGCATGACACCTTCATAGAAATGGAGTTACCAAAAATCCTTAGATGTCTACCTTACTTATCCTTACTTTGCTTAAAGACATCATTTTAAAATCATGCTTCCTTAGAACTGCAGATATGACAAACCAGACCACACAATATTTATAAGCAGCTTCATTTATTTTATTTTTTTTATATGCAAGAAAAAAAACCCCTGAACTGTCAACTAAGATAACCATCAAGAACATTATGAGAATAAGGAAAGAAAGAAAAAAAACAAACAGAACATTCAAAGAGAAGAAAAGGATCTATAATGCTGGATATTAAGGTTAAAAATCCTTATTATAAAGGGGACATTAAAACCATGTTTTACTTCCACGTGTCCCATTCTGAGTCCCCTTGATAAACTGTTCTAAATCACAAGTTTTTTCAGTATGTGAGCTACTTCTTGGGAGTAGGGCAATCCCTTTTACTCAGTATTTTAGGCCACTTTGAAAAGAACCAATAAAATATTTTTCAGAGAGCTACTGGATTGAAGAAATAGAGAAACTTTTCCAAAGGTTTATGTCATCACCAAGGTGCAATACACATGTTTGGAATTCTGTGAAGTAACATGGTGTTTGATGTTAACAAGAGACAACTAAGATGTGACACCTAAATTCTAAGCTTAAAATGTAATGTGTTGATTTACAATTAAGGAGGGCTGCGGATGTAGCTCAGTGATAGAGTACCTGTCTGGCATGTGCAAGGCCCTGGGTTCCATCTTCAGTACCAACCCCACCCAAAAACTTAATTTTTTCATAATTAAGGAGTAAAAAAAATCTCTCCTTATCTGCATTTTAATAGCTATGATCCATTCACAGAGAGATATTTCAAGTTATGGTAACAGACAGAAATTGTTAAATATTTTAAGGCATTTTGACTATGTTTTTACCCATGTCAGTGTCCTAGATTAATCTTTCCTTTACTGGTTTTTTCCTTCTCCATTTTTTTTTAAAGAAAAATAGACATTAGTGTTTCAGTTCATTTTGGAAACATGCCTTGTGAAGAACTTCAGAGATATTTTCCTTTCTTTTAAACAATGACCTTCAAATAAAAATAAAGAGACTTTTCAGATAACACAAAGCCCAAAGCAAATAACATCAGACTCTGCTAATATGGTCATGAAAAGACCACAGAGACCTTCTGAAGTAGAGTAGCCAAGTGCTAAAATAGCTTGAAACACTTTCACAGACGTCAAATGAAGTGTCACTCAGAAAAACAGCCATCAAAGTAGCCCAAGGCTGGAGGATAAGACAGAATCCTCATCTAGTAAACCTTCCAGGCCAACTAGCCCTGGTTGTTTTAACCTGGAATTTCCTGAGTGGCAAAGCAAATTCTGTTTTTCTTGATATCAGAAAAAAAAATTACCATTTTTTCCCCCTTCTTCAGCACAAGTAAAGAACCCAAGATATTTCAAAAGGCCATTATGATGTGGTTTTTGTTTACATGTGAACCAGCTACCGGGTCTCAAAAGGTAATTTTACTCAAGCTCAACCACACTGCACTAGTCTTGTTTTACCTGCCATATGCAAATCGCCTGTCCTTGTGATGATCACCAAAAGTATCCCAAAGCCTGAGAGAAACGCTCACTTCATCAACAACATCTCGGGAACGTTCCAAGACCTGCAGGAAAGAGAGACAGAGTCCATGTGCTCAGTGTTAATCACACACTCCCCCACAGGAGGGGGTCCAAGTTGACACTTCTCAGGGCCCCTAAACCCACTTGCATTTAGTTTCCTTATTTCATCTACTGGGACTTAAGCCAGCTCCTAACTCATGTCCTGGAATCACATGACTCACCCCCATTCAGGTTACCATGGCCATACTCCCAAGTGTGCCCTTTGCTTCTGTTCTCTCTTGTGGCACTAAAAAGGTAGTTTTGTTTTGAATGTGCAGTTTACCCACCCTCTTCCACTAGTTTTAATCTGACTGGCAAACAGCCATGATGGCCTAAGGATCTTAAAGACACCGTGCACCTTACCTCCTGGCAGACACGGTACTGGTCAATGGCCCACACGGTAGGCACGTGGGTGGCCAGCAGCTGATACTGCGTGAGCGTGGTATTACACGCTCTGGCACAGATCAGGCGTGTCTTCCCCACGGCATTGTCTCCCACCACCACACACTTGATGGTTTCCACGTTGGGTCTTTCGTAGTCCATGTCAGTGTCCATTTATGAAACTCTACAAGAAGAGAGTGAAACTACATTGAAGACTCCAAGGCTTTCCAGAGCAATCCCAGACACTAGAGTTCAGAACAGCTTTGCCTCTGTCCAGCCATTGTCCTTGCACGTACACAAGCACAGGCAAGATGTTTGGAAGTTCATACTAAGCCTGATTGAAACTCAAGTTTTCTTTTTATATCTCACACAAGAACAAAAACACCAGACTGCTATTTTGACCCCAAACAGTTTATTCTGGTTAACATGTTATTTTCTCCTTGGTTTTCTCTAAACATAACCTGCCTACTGCAGATCCGTCCAGGCACTGTCAGGACAGCTGGCACACATTTATAGCTCACTAGCTGCTCATGGTGACTGGCTGGTGATTGGTCACCTGCAGGCTAACCTTTGATACTGGAGCCTAAGGTACCTTGGAGATACTGGTGTCTGCTCTACCACAATCTTCCAGTTATCCAATATTTTTGAGAAGCAGGTTTCTTTAAGTTCATCATTATTATGGTAACGTAGAAGAAACTCAAAAGCGCAGATTGAAAAAACTGTCTAACTTTAGAGAAGAGTCTGAATTCTGAGGTACCAAGCAAATTAACTTATATTTATTTATATTAATCAAATAAATAATGATATTCTCAAGGTGGCCCACCTAAAAAGCAACAACAACAACAAAATTACCTTCCCCTCTGTATTTTCATCAAGAAATCTAGAGCACATGGTAAAAGATGAGTCACTTTGAGAATGAGAATGAGAGCAGTTACTTTGGAATCTTCCTGAAACTACCAAAGGAGGTCTAAAGAGGATTGCTGGGTGAGGGGTCAAGAGGAAGAGGAGCGGCTGGGGTTGTGGCTCAGTGGTAGAGTGCTTGCCCCTCATGCATGAGGCACTGGGTTCAATCCTCAGCACCACATAAATGTAAAATAACGATATTGTGTCCACCTAAAACTAAAAAATAAATATTAAAAAAAAAGAGGAAGAGGAAACACTGCTGCAATTCGGCTTCCCCAGGGTCAAGGCCTTCCACAAACCCAGAGCAGCCTCACTACCGGCAGAAGCTGGGTAGGAGACCAACCTCGGAAGATTTTAAGATTTTAATGAGCTGTAGTTGTCCTTTTGAGGAAGTCTATTATTAAACTGAGAAAACTGGTTAGGTGGTCATTTTTAAAGAGCTGGTGATTATTTTACCAGCCATGGTAAAGAAACTGTTCGGAGGAGAGCCTAATACATAATTGAGGCTTTAACTTGATTGATTTGAGAATGATTAATTTGGATGATATGGGTATAGGTGGAGTAATGTAAGGAAGATATTGAGAAGAATACTTTTTCACAGTTAGGGCTGTAAGAAGATGAAATAGTCTCAGGAAGTGAGGATATGGAATTGCCGACAGTAACACCATCACAGGAGGTGTTAAGCCTGAGGCTGGAGAACTTGGCAGGAGTGGGTTCAGGAACAGATGAGTGGTTAGGCTAGGATTTGCTCTGTGGTTCCTATGCCATGAAGAGGCTTTTATTTTTTTTTTTGTTAAACATCAGAAATTTATTAGTTGTTCAAAACATTACATTGATCTTGACATATCATATATCATACCATGAAGAGGCTTTTATAATAGACACCTGTGCCTTACCTAGCAATGTGTATTCTCAACATCTTGGGTGAGCAGAATCTTTAAAAAAATCTCCAATTCTGACAAATCAGCCAGATATAATGACTTCTAAAATTGGTCTTTTTAACATTTTTGCCTTAAAACAGTGTTTGTTTTTTTTCATTCCCTGTCTAATGGTATAAAGTGTCCAAAGCATGAATTTTGGCATTAGACCAGTGTTTGTCAGATATTCCCCCCGGGGATACATACAAAGTCTGGGGACATTTAAGGTTATTAAAATCAGAAGGTGAGGTTAAAAGCTACAGGTTTCTAGAGGGTACCAGCCAAAGATGCTGCTGCTTAACATACTTCATTGCACAGGACAGACTCTACAACCTACCCAAGCCCAAGTGTCACAGTGCTAAGGTTGAACAACCCTGACTCAGATGAACATGAGTTTGAATCCTTGCTATCCCACTTCTAGCCAATTGACGTTGGGCAAGTTGTTTGTACATCTGGCCTTCTGCCTCTCCATCTGCTAAATGAAGATTATAATAATATCCATCTCCTAAAGTATTGTGGGGGATGAAGAAAACTTATGCTTTAAGTTCCTGGTGTGGTATTTGGCAAGATAAAAATTCATAATCATGATGTTGAAGATAAACGCCTTTAGAAGACAACAAATTTGAGCCAGGTGGGAAGCCAGAATGAGATGTAAACTCATACACTTAATAATGACAAAGATCTATAAAAGGATAAATTTTAGAACAGCTCATTCAAGAACAAAATCAAAGAAAAAAAACACAATGTGCAGAATAGTTGACCTTAGGCAAGGAAGACACAAAAAGTTTTGGGTGGGGAGGGGGAGACAGGGAGGAGGTCACAGTAAACCAAAAGATGAAAGAGGTGGAAAATAGATTAAAATATTCTCATGGGGCATTTCTAGATTGCAGAACTGAAAATGATAACACTTTTTAATGCTCTTTGACAAGTTTCTGGTGATATTACCATGGGGTAAGCTAGGATCAGTAAAACGGTTTCATCTGGAGCCTCACAGCTTTGAAGCCAAAGGTATATTACTTTCAATGCTCTAAGTACCACCACAATTTAGTCTTTTGAACATGAATTCGACCTTTTTTTTTAGATAGATAAACATCAAAGATGGCCAATCCATAAAATTTGAAGGAATGTCTGGATTAAATAAAAATTGAGATAGGACACTGAAATATAGAATTGGTCTTCTTGCGGACTTGCACACGAGCTCTGACAGCAGCCCCCAAAGAGGAACCCCAAGTGATTCGAATCACCAAAGCAATGGTGTAGAAAAGTTGTGTAGCTTTTACAGCAGACTACTTTGAGAGGGACACAAGTCCTTCAAGTTTATATTAAGGCTATACTTACAAAGACCCTCATTACTTTACTTATGGTTAGACAGATTTCATGTACTCCTTTAAAGAATTTCTGTGTCAAAGGTGAGAATAACATCCAAGGGTCTTCTCATTCCTAGCAATCTGCTCATGACCAAAATGAGTCCAAAGGTGCTGAACCCTCTGCATGGGGGTGGCGTGGAGCGAGCAATGAAAGGCAGGGCAAGATTGAATGTTCTTAGATGTGGAATGCAGATACAGAATTTCTAAGAAGCATTGCTGAATTTCCAAATCCTGAAAATATTTTACTTGGGGTAGAAATCTAAAAAGCATTTAAAGGATGTGAAGTCACAGCCAAGGAGGCAAACTCATTCTACACTTTGTACTGTTGCAAATCTTCATTTATTTGTTTCATGTAAATAAATAAACTTTAAATTATGGTAGTAATTACAAAATATGCAATTTTATCCTTCTCCTCTTGTTTTGGGCTCTAATTTATTCATCTCTAGCACTCTTATGGTTGAGTGAGCTCTTAGGACCATCTGGATAATGACTATCTGCTTTCTGATTTTTATTTACCTAGAATGAGAGCAATAAATATTGTACATTTAACACAGTTAATAAATTTCACCACCATAAATCCTACTGATTTGTGTGGATACCCTTCTACCTTTAGACATGTACCTGAGGAGACAGGAAAGATAGAAAATAGAAAGTTCCAAAGAACCATCACTGGTAGCCTGTCACGATGGCAGCTTTGTCATCTGACACAAAACCAACCAGAACTTCATTTCATACTTAACCAGTGCTCAGGATGTGGGTGCTAAGAATTAACATTCAGCATGAAGAATCTATCTGCACACTGAAAGTCAAATGGTCAGATGATGTAAAAATTGGCACGTAAACAAGTCAAAGGAGGCTGGGGAGCTAAAGGCCTGGTAAGGTGGTTCTGGGAGGTCACCATCCACCAGGCTGACTAGACAGGTGTGGCCATGTCCATCATGGCAACAGGATCACATCATCAGTTTGATTACCCCATACCTTCCCTGCTCTTGTTACTGACACCACCTGGACTACGGGCTGCTCCTCCTCATTCACCACCAACTGCATTCTTACTGCCAACACAGGATGAGGCACCCCACACCCTAGCCTCACAATTTCTCTACTTCTTCAGTTCCCAGATATCAAACCTTTGGGCCATGTGTTGGTTACTGCTGTCATTCAGAGACATTTTCTCTGTGGAATATAAAATTACAGAATCCCACTCTCAGAACAAAAATTCCTATCTTCATCACTCGTGCCACATGAAATAAGGCTACTATAGCGACTCCCTCACAGACACAATCTATTTCCCTTTCTCTTGAATTTGCACTGACCTGTTGACTGCTTGGTCCAGAAGAATGTGGTGGAGGTGATGCTGTGTGAGTTCCAGAGTGCAGGCCCCAGAGGCCCTGCAGTCCCCACCTTTATGCTGTTGGAACACTGGCCTGAGGCTACCAGGCAAAAGGAAGCTGGCCTAGCCTCACAGAGGATGAGAACTCACACTGGAAACAACCACGGCAGCCCTGCTGATGGCTGTCACGCAGTGTCAGACGATGTAAGGTCATTCTGGATTTTGTATTCTTGCTGACCATCCAGTTGAATGTAGCTAGTGAATGAGCCCAGGGGTAACGAGCAAGGGAATGGCCCAGATTCCCACGAACCATACAATCCTGAGAAATAAATTACTGCTATTCTAAGATACCAAGTTTTGGGGGTGGTTAGTTACGTAGCAATAGTTAACAGAAACATGGCCATTAAACCTTAGGAAAATCTCCAGAACTTTGACTTCTCCATTAAAAAACAAAACAAAACAAACCAATATTGGATGACAGGCCCTTCTTGGGTGGATGATCTTTTCCACCCAGGGTTGATGGGTCATGAGAAACTCTTCTCTTTGCTGTCACTGTCAATGTTCTTGCACTGCCAGAGTGGTAGGCAGAAGCACAGACTCTGGTGCCCTTGTTCTAATTCCTGGCCCCTGGGTGTGTGTTCTTTTCCACAGCACGGGGGAATTAGGA